ACCACGACCGCGACCGCGACCGCGACCGCGACCGCGACCGCGACCGCGACCCCGACCCCGACCACGACCCCGACCCCGACCACGACCACGACCACGACCACGACCACGACCACGACCACGACCACGACCACGACCACGACCACGACCACGACCACGACCACGACCACGACCACGACCACGACCACGACCACGACCACGACCACGACCACGACCACGACCACGCCCACGACCACGACCACGACCACGACCACGACCACGACCACGACCACGACCACGACCACGACCACGACCACGACCACGACCACGACCACCACCACCACCACCACCACGACCACCACCACGACCAGAACGACCACCACCACGACCACCACGACCACCACGACCACCACGACCACCACGACCACCACGACCACCACGACCACCACGACCACCACGACCACCACGACCACCACGACCACCACGACCACCACGACCACCACGACCACCACGACCACCACGACCACCACGACCACCACGACCACCACGACCACCACGACCACCACGACCACCACGACCACCACGACCACCACGACCCCCACGACCACCACGACCACCACGACCACCACGACCACCACGACCACCACGACCACCACGACCACCACGACCACCACGACCACCACGACCACCACGACCACCACGACCACCACGACCACCACGACCACCACGACCACCACGACCACCACGACCACCACGACCACCACCACCACCACCACCACCACAACCACAACCACAACCACAACCACAACCACAACCACAACCACAACCACAACCACAACCACAACCACAACCACAACAGCAGCAGCAGCAGCAGCAGCAGTAGCAGCACCAACAGCACCAACAGCACCAACAGCACCAACAGCAACAACAACAGCAGCAACAACAGCAGCAACAACAACAACAACAACAACAACACCAACAACACCAACAACACCAACAACAACACCGACAACACCGACAACACCGACAACAATGACAACACCGACAACAACAACAACAACAACAACAACAACAGCAACAGCAACAGCAACAGCAACAGCAACAGCAACAGCAAC